GGTTTTGGTTTTTTGTTATTTTTTTTTTTAATTTTATTTTATTTGCCCTCTGACTACCTGCCTCTTTTTATTCTCCAGGGCAGGATTCAGCTCCTGGAACCACTCAGCCTCCTCTGTCCACTGCTTTACCACAGTAAGGAGCCAAGCTGATATCTCTAAGGCTTCCCACCTTGTGGACCCTCTCCACCACAGCAGGAATTTGGGCAGGAGCAACCCTGGCACGGGGAACCATTTCCAGGTTGCTTCAAACAACTGACTGTGATGGAAGCATTTCAGTTTGGAGTTTGGCAATGTTGATTGTAGCTCCCCAGAGGAAGGGCCTGGCTCTCCCTGGTTTAAACATAGACAAATGAACAAATGTACTCAGAGGGGTGGAGGAAAAGGCAAAGATGATATACCACAATCTACCAATGGGATATACCGTAACGGGATGGATAGCATGTGTAGGAGAATAAAAAACAAACGGCCACAGACAGTAACAGAGCTGCTCATCCAGACTGCAGGCTGATCTGAAGGTGCTAATACCCTGCCTTATCTTCCCATCTCTCCCAGCCTTCTCTCTGACTGGGCAATCTGTCACTACATCTCTGCCCTGGAGGACATCAAAAASTGCAAATCTCTGTACCTATGCCTTGTTCCTTCCTCCAACTGAGTTGTTTCAGGCACAAATGTAGGATAGAACATTTCTCATACAGTTAAGCGTAAGTTTGAGTCCRGGGAAAGCACTCCACTCTGATTTTATGCCTTTGCTAGAGGGTTTCTCCCCACCTTCAAAACATCTATTTCACAGCAGGGACTGAGAATTACATTAGATTTGTGTGATGGATCTGCATGGCTTCACTACAGAGCAGGCACATAAGCYTGAAAGCAGGGCATCATTGTGTGGTTCTAGGAGTGGTCTCCCAGCCTGGAAAACAGTGTCACAAAAGTCACCAGGAAGAGTTCACCCAACACTACAGTAGTTCCCAGGAAGCTGTGTGTTGTTGCTGTGGAAATTATAATTACAGTTCAGCCAACACTTGAAGATGAGTGTTTTCTTTTTGCCAGCTTCCTGAAGTTACCTGCAAGAATTCTGCTGTGGATTMATAAATAGGGTGACAGATCTCAGACAGATAGGTCTCTGCCCATCATCCTTCTCTCAGCTACATGCAGTCCAAACTGCGAAATTTTCCTGGAAGCCCTTGAGAAATGTTCTTGCTTGTTTAAAAAAAAAAAAAAAAAAAAAAAAAAAAAAAAAAAAAAAAAAAAAAAAAGGAAGCATTTGTTGCTGAAATAAGTTAGATTGTAAAAAAATCCCTTTGGCAACCTCTAGGAAATCCACAACTACTGTTCCTTTGTCCAGGGTCTGTTTTTCTTGGATGTGTCCCCTTACAGAGTGCCTTATGTTTGTGGATGCTCACTGTTATCTGTGTTGTTTTGTTTGCACAGGGAAATAGTGTCAACATTCAATTTTTTGGGTTGTCTAGAGGACAGTGAAACAGCAATGGGTGACTTAGTTTTTGCAGGAGTAGTATTCAAACAGTGATTATTGGAGCTGAAAAATTCAGAAAGTTTTCAGATAATCTTTGCTTAGGTCCTGATCTTCCCAAGACAATGCTCATACTTCATTTTCTGCTTGCACAGCCACACTGAATTAAATGGGAGAATGACAGCACATTTAAAGCTATGCCTATCATAAATCACCTTTCTGCATCAGGGCCTCAATCACTGTATGTTAATAGATATTCGATGGGGGGAAGGGGGAAGAGTAAATAAGTTTGTTTTGGCCCCATTTAAATTCCTTTCTTTTTCAGTGATTGTTTGGAAAAACAGACCGTCGGGAACAAAATAACAATGTTATTATACAATATAATGATTAAAAAAGGCAAGAGGAAAGATTTTTTAAAGCCACATGTGGAAGTTCTTCTGAAAACCCGGTTGTATGCTTGCATAAAGAAGGATTCAGCCAAGATATCTGCACAGTGTTCCTGTCAGGAAACAGCAGTGATGCATATGATTTATCAGAGCACCAGCAACTACATGCCATGGATATTTGCTCTCAGTCCATAGTGTTMAAGATTAGAAAAGGTATCTGTTGAATTCATTTGAATAACAAATAGACTGGGGAATCACAATCTGTTCTCAGCTATTCAATGGATGAAAAAAGTAATTTATTGAATGTATTAGCCTCTCAATTTTAGCAATTATTAGAGCAGAATTAGAGATYTGAAGACAATAATTTCAGGTTCTATATACAATTTCTACAAGCAACTGATAAGTGGTGTCAGCACATGTACTTCCTGGCTTCTGGCTCAGTCACAAGTAGCTCGTAGCAAATCCTCCCGACTCCCTGTTTGGAGCCTGGCTGACAGTGCCCTCAGCCAAGCACTGGTGTAAGGATTTCTAAATCAAAGCAGGGGTTAGCTACATTATTCATGTGGAATTAGATTTTTGACCCCTGTTTGTAACTCACAAATTACAGTTACAGAACTTAGTCACCTACAATGCTTGCAAATGAATTTCAACAACCAGTGAACAGTCGAGAAAATCCGTATTACTACACAGGAAAAGGAATCTTGGACATATATTCATTTTGCATATAAGCATGACTGAAAGAACCTCAAGTACAGCTGGTAGAAAAAAGCACTCTGGGGAGAGGAGAGACACTGGAGTTGTCAGCATCTGGTATTTCCAGGACCAGTGTTCAATTTTTGCACAATTTGGTCAGAAATTAAAGCAGAGTTTCCAACCCTCTTMTCAGAGAGCTTTTCTCCCAAGTGTCCATCCTCTTGGCAGCCCCTGCAGGGAGTCTCCAAGCTCCCAGTCATTCTTCCCTTAGAAGCCATTGCATCAACWCAAGTCAGAAGCAGCTGGATACCAGCAGAAGAATCTGGAAAACAAGCATTACATGTGGAAAGAAGAGCACCAAAGAGATGGCGGATTGCCATTTTTGTACTCACCCAATTAATATGCTCCTTCTTCCATTTGCTCTCTTGCTCTTTCCAGTCTCCATAATGCCTGGTGAACAGATCAAGGGGTGGAGCTGAACTGGCGACAGTCACCTTATAACATCTCTCCTATAAACACGGAGTACTAGCAGAAGCAGAAGGCACTGTCGTGCTGATCATCATCCTCTGAGTCAGCCATTTGCAACCACCTTCTCCGGGCTGTCATCTTGCCACTACAAATTCAAAATCTGAGTCAGAACCCAATTTAAACTGCTATAATTAACAGTCCCAATTTAACCAAACCTAGCAGTTTGTCATGTTGCATTCTCTGCATACATCTGAGCATCTTCTGCTGCCAAGCAGCTCAGGTCCAAAGAGCATCAGTGGGTTTAGGCTCCCATCAGGGTAGAGCCCAACAGCAGCCAAACTACAAAATCCAGCCATGCTGGATTAGTTTGCTGGTTAAAAAGCAAAGTACCAAATGTGATGGAATGGGTGCTGCTGTGTGCTAATCTATAAATACTAATGAGYCAAAAGGGGGTGAAGTTTTGCGAGTGATTGTCAGCAAAGAAGAGTTACTGTATAATGGAGTGGCCACTGCAATGAGAGCTCCAGAGCAGAGAGCCCAGGCTGGTGAGGAAAAATCCTGGGTGCTGTTTAAAAGAAACATGAGTGGAGRTACCTTGCTTGCTGGTAAGCCCCATGAAACTTGGGCTGGACAAATTTTCTATGTGGAAGATAATTGTTTATCAAACAAGCTAAACATGAGCCCTATTACCCTTAAATGCRTATTGTTACTAAAAAATGCTTCACTCTGAAGAGAGCCTCTGGTCACTGTGGGTAGTTTAGGAGTGTCCCCGCCTTCACTTTAAGGGAATTTGRTGCATTTATTTTTAGGGAATTGCAAATAGGTGACTTACAGATTAATTCATATTTTTGAAGCCACAGGTGATGCCAAAACTGTGAGTGGAAACAAATTTCTGAAATAATCTGTCTTTTTAAGATTTAGGGAAGATGTTTTTCCTCCACTTAGTCTCCATTTCTTCCTTTCCTTTCTCTCACCATCCAGTTTGAATGATCTATTTRGTCTTTGTGTTTTGGTGTTGTTTGTTTTTGCAGTGCTCTCTGGAGGCCGCCACTAAGAGCTCCACAGTTCTTGAGCCACGTGCAGCTGGAGAACATCCACTGCCCACAGGTGTTTGGAATCGGCACAGATGTGAACGGAATAACAAAGCCAATCTACACATAATTCACAAGCACATGGCAGGCAAGCTGGAATAAACTCTATTCTCCAAATGTGATTTGAGTAACCTGTGCCCTAAACTGCACACACTCTGCTGTCTCAACACTTTGCTGTCATCCCTCTCCATCCTGTGGCTTCCTGTGGATGCTCACTGTGTGTATCCTTCTGTGAACACATCCAGTCCAGCCCATTTCAATGGATTCTTTTTTATTATACTCATACATTGCTCTACTTTCTTACCGAAATGCCTACATGTCAAAAATTATGGGAATTTTTTAGGAAGTTACCAACTTCCCACGACTCCCATGTTGGCTGTGTCAAACACTTGTATTTAGGTGCCAATCAATGTGTTGTCTTTTCATGGTGTTCTCATCATTATTTTAGCATGAGTTTCTGCAKTGATATACTTATCACTGTACAAATGATCATTACATGTCTTGGGGGGAAGATACATGCGCTTTTGACAGTGTGTTTGAAAATGTCTACAACTGTACATTTCCACACTGCCTCAGGGAAGGTCATAGTGCTCTTCCAATCAAACTGTTATTATAGAATTATAGAACTGTTATAGCTATTATAGAATGTATGCATACAAATAATAGATATACAGTATTACAGGTCTGAGGATGTGCTTGCATTTGCAGAAAAAATCTGATAGAGTTCTCATTTATGCTCACCATGACCAAACTCAGAAATAAAAAAATCCTGCTTCATCCCACAGCTTTCTGCTTCAGTGAATTATTTTTTATTGATGTTTCAAGTCTTAATTTTAAATTTGGTTTCGAGGAAAAAAGTAGCTGGTCTTTTGCCTGCTATTATACAAAATATATTTCTATCAAGTAGAAGGAAATACAATTTGTAAAATGATCAATTACATAATGATTACAGTGGAGAAATACATTCTCTAACATAATTTGTTAAATGGAGGAATTTAATATGAAATAGTAGATTTCCAAATTTATACAAATAACACCAGATGGTGAGCAGCTAGTTTTAATTAAATTAGGTTTGATAATTATAGCTGTTTAATTTTTAGGTTTGACTCAGATTAGAAAGAATGTATTATTTTCCTGTAAACTTATTTTTAGTTTTCTTCCCAGGTTGTGGATATTGCATTATTCACTGTGGCCTGGAGCAGCACAGAGCTGTGGTCAACTTTCTGGTGGCTGATTTTGGCCTGCCTGGGATCTGCTTCAGCAATCCAGAGGATGTGGCATGCTGGGATCCCCTGACAGGAGTCAGAGGTAGTTTTGCCAATGGAAGCAGGAAGGAGTTTCTCCACCAGAATTAGTTTTCACAGCCCAATCTATTGACTCCAGCACTTGATTTCAGSTGCTTTAGAGCAGAGGAAGAAGCCTGATGAGAATGAAGCCTTTGTGGTTGCCACATGCATTTCCCAGAACTGTAGTGATCCATTTGCACATGCACACACCTGCATTCCCTGCAGTTTCTGTCCCACAGYGTTCCCTCTGGGAGGACCCTGCGAGGGTTACAGCCTGTCCAGACACACACAGCAGTAAAACAATGAGCCCTGGCACTGGTGTCCCACTCTGACACATCCTTTCCTATCACTACTGCTTTCTCTGGTCTGGTCCCAACTTTGAGTTCACCAGGTCMCAGTGACTCCACTGAGCCATGGAAATATGGTTAAAGCTACAAATATGCCCAATTTTCTTTTTAGAATGTGGACAGAGTCCAAAGCCTATCTTGCAGGACCAGCTCCCTRCTAATCAATGCTCACAATCCCATGGGAATCACCTCCTGTGTGATCAGGATCCATACAATCTAGTCTGTTCCATTTACAGGTCTGGCAGTTGCAGCTATAAGCCCAAATGAAGGCTTTCACCAGCTCTGCAGGGTGCATCTACAAAAGGGGTGTTGGCTGCAGTGACATCTGTGAGTGCTCAGCTTGTCCCAAGCWGCAGGATGCTGCAGGCTGAAAGATCCGTGCAAGAACAGCTGTGGTGTTTGCTCAGTGGATGGAATGATGTTCAGGAAAGGACTCTTTCAGTGTGACTGAGTTCGTGGAACACTTCTCAATTTGCTTGAGCTGTTAATCCATCTCCTGGAGTCTGTACACCACAAAAAAGAGGTGGGTGGGAAACAAAGAGGTTTGAGTCATYGTACCATCACAGTTCAAAGGCACTCAGAATATTGTAATTGTAATTGAATACTATAATTGTAATTGAACATATAATTTAGAACTTCAGTGTTGCGAATAAAAGATGTGTTCAGGATCTGCCTGTAACTCCTGGAAGCCTGCAAATGCTGTGACTWCCCGCACGGAAGTCACATTTTAGTCTGGAAGAAGCCAGCTCAAGGGCTTACTCTCCATTTCAGATATCATTAAGAAACTTAAAAGTTGCCTTAAATCATTCCCCCCTACTTCAGATTTCTTAGAGCTGGCACTTGGACTGGCACACAGGCAAGGTGGTGCTGTCCTGCCTCCTCTCTCTAAAGTCCTTTTTTCTTTTATCTCAGTTTTCTCTCGGCAGGGTTCTTCTTCCATTATCTGCCTAGTGCAAATCCGGTCTCCTGCTCTGCTTTCTCTTTTTGTGTGTGCTGAAAGGCGGCCTCCCTGAATTTGGATGATATTGATTATGTAAATCAGCATTTCTCCTCTAGATTGCTTTTTCTTTGTGAACTGGGAGCGTAATTTGCTGTCTTCTACCTGATAATTGTGAGGATAATTTGAGCTGTCTCTTTGTGGAGTCATCAGTGACTGTTTTAATTTCCATATGTGAGGAGYGCTCTTCTATTTTTAATTTTTTTCCTAATCCTGCCTCCTTCTGAACTACTGGATTGATTCTGCTGCTCATAACAGCATCACCTGAAGTCTATTTTGGAATTTCCACTGCCAGCAAGATTGAAATTTATCTACAATGTGGCAGGTTTTTCAACATTTCCAGAAGAGACATAATCCCATAACTATCAGCCTGACAATAAAGTTGTCTATCTGTAATGGAAAATTGAGGACTCATAGCCATATTTTTCAGTGAAAAAATGTTTCAAAATGAAGTAAACAATACCATTTAGTTGTGAATAGCACACGTCTTTCATCAACTTGAAATACCAACTATAGGTTTGAAAATTAAAATAATGAGAGGTTCATGACATATTGTTCTTTTATTCAGCACCAAATGCAACCCACTTACAAAGGGCCATGTAGCACATTTCACAGCAAATGAGATTTAAGTAATCTATTCACATGGTTTCTAAAGGATAGAAWGAAAAATATAAAAGCCTTTTACCGGCAGTTGTCTCAGAAAAGGTGACCATTGCTTTATTACAGCATTTTCAAAAAAGCTCTGCAAGCAGCTTCTTCCTGCCTTGTTCACGTGATGCTGGTATTGGCTAAACACCAAAAATATGATGAAGGTTTTATAAGATACAGGTAAAGAGGAGCTCTGAGGGGAGGCAGAGACCCAAATGAAACCCCCTTTGGTGTCAGCAGCCCTCTGGAGTTGGTTCCCAGAGAATCCAAAGGCTGCACAGAGCACAGAGCTGGGATATCTCTACAGGGCCTCAGGCAGGACCAATGATAACATGACCACGGTTTCCTCTTCATCTTTCAATTTCCTGTCAGACGTTTCAAGCCTGACCTCAAGCAAAATCCATGTAGGATGTGGCTGTGATTGTTTCTTTGGAACCGAATTTCACTAGGAATTGCACCATTAAAAAAAAAAAAGGAAGAGAAAATCTCATAATTTACAGCAAAAGCTAAAAAAAACCTCTCAAATTTCTACACAAGAAAAAGAATTACTCTGGAGCTTTATTTTTATAAACTAACCATATCGCCTTCTATTTTAGTTAATAAAAATGTATCAAATGTTACATTACCTTCTTTAAATTAAAAATAGTTTAGAGGAAGTATGTTCTATTCCAAATATGCCCAAAAAGGGCCACATCTGACCCAATCAATATGCTTTTTAAAATCTCTGTCTGCAAAAGAAATGTCATGGTAATTAG